TTGCCAGCTTGAGTCCACCCAGAGGTGCCTTGGAAGAAAGACCTGGTGATCTGCTGCCCAGAAATCAGCCATTGCAGACCGAACGTGAGGTTCTCCTCGAACACACACGGGCACATGAGTGGGATCTGACCTGTGAGCAACTGGCTTGCTTTTGGGGATTTTGTTGTTGTTGTTTGTTACGTCTTTAGTTTTCTTTGTGGCGTCTCTATCAGATTTTGGTATCACGGAAATGTGGGGTTCATATAATGAGTTAGGAGGTGTTCCCTCTTTTGTTTTTCAGACGACTTTAAACGGGAATGGAATGACTTCCTTTAAGTATTTAATAGTGATGCCATCTAGTCCTGCCTTTGCTTTGTTGGTTTTGGATTACTGACTCAATCTCATCACTTGTTACATAGCTCTATTGAGATTTTGTATTTCTTTCTGAAATTTAGATAGTCTGCATGCTTCCAGGTAGGATATTACTTTAACAGAAATAAAGTTTAATAAATAAGTAAAACCAAGAAAGAAACAAAACACTACTCAAGAGAAACAAACAGAAGGGGAGTGACAATGGGAAATGGCAGGCGACAACCAGTTCTCCAAAGGTGCTGCACTCATCCGTGGGCTCTGGGCAGCGCTCCGGCTGTGGCAGCTGGGGGACAGGAGCACGCTGGGGGATGGGACAGAGAAGGAGAAAGGGGGTGGGTCCCATACAGGGACAGACACAGAAGGGGCTCGGGGGACTGGGGAAGAGCTGACAGGCAACAGAGGCCTTGCATCCTACCTAAGTGCTCCCTTCCCCAATTATCCTTCATCTTGAGAGTTTATTGATTCACTCCATAAATCTAGCCCTCCGGGCCCATCCTCGTCTCCTGTGCAATAAAAGCATTTTTGTTTCGGTTTTCATTCTTTGTACGTTTGAATGCGAAACGTACGAAAAACGAAAAAACAGGGAAGATCATAATGATCGTGCAATAGCCACTATGAGCTTTGCCAAATATTAACACTTTTTCAGGGGCGGGGAGTGGGGTGTTTAATTGTCTCTAATTCCTTTTCTTTGTAAAGAAAACATTACAGACAAACTTAAAACCCTCTCCAAACCATTCTCCAAACATAGTCCCCTAACTCTCTCTCCAGAAGGTAGCCATCAAGCTGGATTGAGAACCCAGCACCCCGTCCACTTTTCTCTAAAATGAAAGCATTGGTTTAGATTAGTTCTAATGCCCCTTTCTGTTCTAGGGTACCAGGAATCTGAGCATGATACCAAGTTTCCTGATGTTCTGACACTGAAATGCAGCAGTCTTAAAATGTACAAAAAAGTAGTTCAAATAATTTTAAGCCTCAAAGTAGACTGTATCAGAATGCAACCCTTGGGCAAAAGCAATACTAACTAGTACAGAAGTATCAATCAGTACAAATACTAACAGCAATGCAGAGAGCATATGAAAACCCAAGTGCAACAATTTCACTGTGGTTTACTTTCACAGTGTCCATCAGCTCCCGGGAATGATGAGACACAATACTCTCACTGGAATCTCCACAGTCCGTGTAACTGATTCCACGATACACCACACTGTCCCACAGCAGCTTCTGCATTCTTCTCTGACACGTACAACATTTTTCCAATGCCAGTTCTACTTAAGAATGTCCCTGACGGTGCAGGAATGTGATTTTGATTACATCTTGAGTGCCTATCTTCTTAATTTTCCAGTAATAAAATGGGAAGCAGACATAAAGCACTTGTGCACACTGAAGCAAGATGGTTATCTCCGAGAAAACAGGTGTACGATGATTTGAATCAGGAGGTGAACTAGGCAGTATTTTCATGGAACACCATTCTTTAGTTAAAAGAATGACTGACACACTACGGTTATTCAGATGGCTTTGTCAGACATTTTCTCAAAAATAAGTAAGGGAGAATGTCACTTCAAGAAATGTAACTGGTGGCATTTGTTGCCAATTATACCATTCAAACTCTGAATGAAACGTTTTCAAAATCTGTATTTATAGTGAGCTTGACAATTTCCCAATATTTAAAGACTTTTCTGATGAGCTCAATGTGCTATTAACCAATGTAATTTCTTGAAATTGCATAATGTAATCTGTTAACTTTTGGAGTACCTGTAATACAAAAGGAGCTGGCATTTTTTTCAAAGGACCAATACTTCATTTAGTAATATTAAGCATGGGTAAAGACCCATTCAAAGTGTGAGACAGACCAATGGATCTTACTGTAAAAAGAGTCAAGTACCACTGACAGGGTTTTAGATTTCACACCTGAACTAACTTTTAAGAAATGACCATTTGTTGAATTTTGGGGTAGTATCAGAGAAAAACATCCACAATTATCTGAAAACATAATTTCCGATTAGCTATTTCCTCTCTTGTCCAATTATATATCTGTACAAACATTATTGTAAATGTTAACTGGATTATTATTTTTTCTTGATGTTGAGACTCATGAACACAAAATCGCCACGGTTAATTACCACGGTGTATTTTCTGATAACACAGTCATTTAAAAACAAATAAACAATTCATTATTCATTTAAAGCAGTTATATTCTTGCAACAAAGATGTGAGAGGCTTAATTTACTCCAGAAACAAGACCACTGCTCTTAAACAGAGAGGAGATGAATCTTTAAAATGTACACATTTTGGACACATGCCAGTAAAGTCCTTTCTCTCTAGTTCTAGAGGAATGTTGCTGCTAAATGCCATGGAGTTGGTTCTGATTCATAGCGATCCTACGTACAACAGAACAAAACACTACAATAAATCCTATTTATTTAATGCGTGACTCTCGAAACCTACATACTAATCACCCAGATGACATGGTGTTAATGGATATAAACTTTGGTTCTTATATTTATAAGAAAATGTCCTTTCATCAAAAAAACCCTGACCATTTATATTTCAAACGAAATCACTTACTCTGACCAAAGCCCTGTAGGTCAGAAGTAACACACCAAAAGCCATTAACTTTTCACAGATGCCATTTGTAGGTAGGTTAAGAAGCAGAAATTATTTAAAGAGAACTGTTCTTATATAAATCTAGCCAGTTAAAGAATATCACAAATCACTGACTTCAAAGGTAGGAACTTTGAGAAGATGAGAACTGATCAGTAATAGCCTCATGAGTAAACAAGGTCCTATTAGTCTACCTTCTGAAGGAGAAGGCTTATACACAGTAGACCACCCAAGAAACAGCCAGAAGTTGATTGCCCTCCCCTGGTAAATACCCACCCATTTCTGTAAGCTCACCTTTGCAGTTCATCAAGCCCTCTGGCAGCTGGTAGGCTGGGGTTTTGCCTTAGAAAGTTCTGCTTTAAATTGAGATGAGTGAGGTCTTGGCTGTAGAAAAGGTTGGCAGGCAGATGCTCCAGGCTACAACACGAGAGGTCCACTGAGCTAATGCGCTGCGATGCAACCTGGTGGGGGGCCAAAATACAATTTAATTTGAATACCATCCACTCATCCTAGAACACGTTCATCCTAGAAATGATCACACTGTTGGGGGCCACAGACACACTATGCAAGCAGCACTATGAATCCAAATAGAAAGCAATAGAGTATCCACTTGGTACAAAAACTGGGACAAGTTTCATTCTTCTTGAGTCAAAGCAGAAAGCAGCAGCCCTGCCCAGAGGGTGCTATGGTAACCGAGGACAGCAGACAGGTTACAGAGAGCACAGATTAGCCTATCAGGTTTAGTGGTATCAGTAACCTCCAATTGTAGGTAAAATACCCGAACATATCCCAGGCGAGAGAAGTCCGAGCTAAGAAGACAGGCCTTAGAGTAAAGTTAGGGAAGGGAGACAACAGGAGCTTCTAAGCGGAACCTATCAAAGCCCTTGTACAGAATGATGCAAAACTGAAAGGCGGAACACAGAACTACAAATGCGTTGCACACACCTTGATGACCTGGGAGCACTCCAGCAGACCCCATGGCTACACACGTCTCAGACCGTCTCTCCCACAAACATTCAGGGAGATGCCTACATGCTCATTCTGCTTGCTTCATATTGATATTCTAAGTAAAACTTCCGTATGTTTAAACCTCCGTGCAGATCTCAACACCCTCCTGAGTAAATCCTTCCACCATGGCCGTGGTCCGGGACTACTGACTGACCAACATGCTGGTGACAGAAAATGCAGCGGGTAACCCGTTTTTCGCCAACACTCGCTCCAATATCCCAGGCAATACAGTGCCAGTTATGCCAAAGCACCGCCTCTGGCCCCACTGACACCCACTATGGCGTCCTCTCTCCTCACAGAGGCCACGGGAGTGAGCGTCTAAGATTTGGGTGTATTCACCCTCCGGCTCTTTTATCGTTATCAAAGCTTTATGGCAGAAAACTCTGCAGTCTACTCAACTGCACCTCCTATCACCCAGCACCAGGTTTCTTTTTCCGAATTACCAAAGGCAGAACACAGTTCTCAGGAGTGTGGGGCGTTACCTTCCTCCACCACCCCTCATGAGCAGAGAGCACTGAGGAGACCACGGAGCTCATCAAGTTCAGGTTCCTCCTCTGTGTAACAGGCATACAGATGGCACTGACTTTCAACGCCTGGTGCCGAAAAAGAATCCCACGACCCAGTCACTGCTATTACACTGTTACTACCATTGCTCTTTCCAAGTGGAATGATCCAGGTTCTACACCCACTGGAGCTCAATTCCCCTGAGGCTGAGCGGGGTCCAGAATCCATGTGCATACTGTGAATGGCACATCTGAGGTGAGCAGAAATGACTGCACACAACAAGCTGTGAGGAGACTGGGAGGAAAGCAGCCTGACTGGGCTCGACTCAAAAGGTGTTTCAAAGGAAGTCTGACTTTGCAGTGTAGCAATTTCATCTTTCCTTCAATTTTCACCCTATGTTAAGAAAAAGTTCCAAACCCATGTAAACCGAATGATATGAGAAGTGCCAGACACTCACTGGGCCTGAAAGCCAGGTGAAACTGCACAGCCACCTGGGATTCCCCGGCAGAAAGCTGGCTGTGGGGAGTGCGGCTGGAGTCACGCTAAGCAGTGGAAGCATTCGCCCAGAAATGTGTGCTGAGCATCCAATGATGTGCCAGACACGCCGTAAGCGAGGCAGACGAGAGACCATCTTTGGCCCGGATGAGGCACATCTAGAGAAGCAGAAGGCCATGGAGACACCACATTCCAGTTGTCGCCACGTAGTGCCAGGCACAGAACCATCTGAGAACAGAATGTCCAAGCCCAGCCGGAAGGTGAGTGGAAATCTGCATTTCTAACCACCCAGAATCTTTTCTCCACTTCTTAGAACCACCCTCAAACACACAGGGATCCCCAATGGCATCCTGATCCCAGCCACAGGGGCAAGCACTCAATCCCAGGAGGCGGGAACAATCTAAACATCTCCATTCATTCAGCGTGATTACTGAATACTTACAACAGCCAGTTACTGTTTGAGGTAAGCACTGGGCATACTTCATGGAACAAAAGGAAGTTCCCTGCCCTCTTCAAACATACCTCAAAGATAAGTAAATTATCCTCAGAACAATCAAACATGGGAGGCCAGGAAGGTGGGATCTGCCCTCCAGCAAAATTCGAGGACAGGAAGTGGCAGGAGGCAGGGATGAGTGGAGACGGGGCCCAGGGAGAAGGGGGAAAAGTGCCGTCACACTGAGGGGGTGCAACTAATGTCACAAAACAAAACACGTAAAAAAGCACTGAATGTGAAACTAACGTGCCCTACAAATTTTCTTAAAATCACAATAAAATTTTTTTAAAAACTGCTCATGGCAAAACCAGTGCATGAATAGACAATGATTATTTTCCTTTTTCTGCTCGATTTCCTTCTCCCTGTAGAGAAATGTGTTGTTTTTATTCACTGAATCATTATAAAATAAAACCAAAAAACATTTGGTATTGAGTCTACTCCAAAAACAAATAAATAAATAATCTAGTACGTTTTAAAAATTGGCAACTACTATTTTGGGGGCGTGGGGGGATGACCCTGATAAAAAACAAGCGTCAGGGCCCCTGGGAAGGTGGGGATATAATTTAATTATGGTAGTCACGGTGAGCCATTGAAAGGTGGCATTCAGACTTGAAGGAGCTAAAAAGGTTCACGTGAAGGAAGGCTATCCAGGCACAGGAAGTAGCTGGTGCAAAAGCCCAGGACAGGAGTGGGCCTGGGATATTCCAGAACAGCCAGCAATGAGTCAGAAAGGTAAGGGGCGGGCTGGGTGAGGTGGGCAGCAGCTCCCACGGAGTCTTTTAGGGTCACTGGAAGGCCTGTGAGGAAGGACTATTACTGAGGAAGACTCATTAACAACCTACCACATGCAGATGACACAACCTTGCTTGCTGAAAGTGAAGAGGACTCGAAGTACTTACTGATAAAGATCAAAAACTATACTTCAATATGGATTACATCTCACCACCAAGAAAATCAAATCCTCACAACTGGACCAATAAGCAGGCGAGAGACCATCTCTGGCCCAGAGGTGTCAGAAATTTCATTTTACTTGGATCCGTTATCAATGCTCATGGACCGGCAGTCAAGAAATCTGACAACATACAGCACTGAGTGAACTTGATGCAAAAGACCTTTTTAAGTGTTAAAGAGTAAAGGCATCACTTTGAAGACGAAGGTGCACTTAACCCAAGTCATGGCATTTTTAATCGACTCATGAAAGCTGGACAGTGAATAAGGAAAACTGAAGAAGAATTGACACATTTGAATTGTGATACTGGCAAAGAATACTGAAAACACCATGGGCCAGAAGAACGAACAAATATGTCTTGGAAGAAGTGCAGCCAGAATGTTGTCAGAAGGGACCATTTTCCTGGGGAAGGACATCATGCTTGGTAAAGAAGAGGGTAACGAAAGGGGAAGACCCTCACTGAGATGGATTGACACGGCGGCTGCAGTGACAGGGTGAAGATTGTGAGGATGCTGCGGAATGGGTAGTATTTAGTATTTAGTTTCGCTGTACGCAGGGTTGCTGTGTGTCAGAGACGACTTGATGACACCTAACAACAATAACAGCAAGGACTGCTTTTACTGTCTAAATGATCCAAAATCAGTTTTAGAAGAAATACAGCCAGAGTGCCGCTTAGAAGCAAGGCTGGGAGACATGGGCTCCCTTACATCTGGACTCAACATCTGGAAGGATCCATCATGGTTGGTAAAGGACAGGGTTAGGAAAAGGAGACACCCTCAGTGGGATGGACTGACAAACCAGCTGCAACGATGGACGCAGACACAGTCATCATGAAGCTGGTGCAGGATCGGGCAGCATTTTGTTCCGTTACCCGCAGGTTTGCTGTGAGTCAGAGCTGACTCGATGGCACCTTACAACAAGGACGTGGCTTCTACTGTGAGCAAAATGGGAAACAAAGGAAAGTTCTAAGATGAGGTGTGACCTGTCTTCCAACATGGTGTTTCACTTCCTTGTTTAGTATCTGTCTCTGGGTCCAGACTGTAAGCTCCACACAGACAGGGATTTTTGTCTGTTTTGTTCACTGACAGAACCCCAGTGCTTCACACTTAAAAAGAATTTGCTGAAGTCACCGGACTACTTTATAACCCTTCAGTTAGTCTGACCTAGCTACTACATTCTTGCGCATGGTGACTACTGTGAAGACAACAAATGCTATTTCAGTTGTAGGATCACAGTAAATACTCTTTTTGGACAGCTAAGAAGCAGTGATTCAAACATCAAGTCCACATCGTGTTTGACGACTTTCTTCTGTATGGGCTGCAAGCTGTTCTTCTGGAAACAAGGGTGGGGGGGCACATTAACAACAAGGCTCCAATAAGCAAGAGCCGCTTTATGGGCGTTGTGGAGAACCAGGAACACCTACTGTGGGTAGATCAATTAAACGTCAAAGCCGCAGTGAGCACCACTTGCCTCTCTGCCCAGTCCTGTGCCCTGGCAACAGAAAGAAAGAGTTAAGTGCTTCCTTCAGAGCAATCCGGGAACATCAAGAACCAAGCACAAAGAGAGAAAAGCTCAAGTAAGAAGGCTTTGCTAGATGGCCAAATGAAAAACCTATCAGCCGGGCTACCCCAGGAGCACCCATCTGCACAGCAGTTATTAAAACTGAAATTCCCCCCAAAATAAGAAAAGCCTAAGCAAATAATAAGCCACCTGTGTACGCCTCAACGCAGCAGGCCTTTCTTACACCAGCTTTCCTCTGACTCCCAAGTAGGCATAGCACTAATAGTAACAGCTAACATCCTGTAGCGTTTCCTTTGTGAGAGACATTTTTCTAAGAGCTCTAGGTATAGTATTTAATTTAACGTTCACAACAACTCACTGTAGTAGGGACTCATCTCCCTTTCAGAGAGGAGAGGTAGCCTGGGTCACAGAGTGGTTAAGTAACTTGCCCAGGGTCACACGGCTCGAGAAGCAGACCCAGACCTGAACAGTGGACTGCTCTATTACAGTAA